AAAAGTTACATGTCTTCAAGTCACCAGGGCTTGAGGAAATGCATCCTAGAATACTCAAGGAGCTGACAGAGGACGTATCTAAACTATTAGCTATCATCTTTGAAAAATCAAGGAAGTAGGCAGAGATTCCAGAAGACTGGAAAAAGGCAGATATAGTGCCCATCTATAGAAAGGGAAATAAGAACAACCCAAGAAAGTACAGACCAGTCAGTGTAAATTCTGTACCAGGGAAGATAAAGGAGCAAGTAATTAAGGAATCCATCTGCAAACACCTGGAAGAAAATAAGGTGAGAGGTAACAGCCAGCATGGATCTGTAAAGAACAAATCATGTCAAACCAATTTGATAGCTTTCTTTGATAGGATATCAAGCCTTGTGGATAAGGGAGAAGAGGTGGATGTGGTATACCTAGACTTTAGCATTTGATACGGTCTTGCATGACCTTCTTATCAATAAACTAGGGAAATACAACCTAGATGGGGCTACTCTACGATGGATGCATAACTGGCTGGATAACCATTCTCAGAGAGTAATTATTAATGGTTCACAATCCTGCTGGAAAAGCCTAACAATTGGGATTCCACAGGAGTCTGTTCTGGGACCAGTTCTGTTCAATATCTTCCTCAACTATTTAGATATCGGCATAGAGAGTATGATTAAAAGTTTGCAGATGATACCAAGCTGGGAGGGGTTGCAAGTGCTTTGGAGGATATAGTCATAATTCAAAATGATCTGGACAAACTGGAGAAATAGTCTGAGGTAAATATGATGACATTTAATAAGAACAAATGCAAAGTCCTATATTTAGGAAGGAACAATCAGTTTCACACATACAGAATGGGAAGTGACTGTCTAGGAAGGAGTCCTGCAGAAAGGGATCGAGGGGTCACAGTGGACCACAAGCTAAATATGAGTCAACAGTGTGACACTGTTGCAAAAAACACAAACATGATTCTGGGATGTATTAACAGGAGTCTTGTGAGCAAGACATGACAAGTCATTCTTCCTCTCTACTTTGTGCTGATTAGGTATCAGTTGGAGTATTGTGTCCAATTCTGGGCACCACATTTCAAGAAACATGGAAAAATTGAAGAAGGTCCATAGAAGAGCAACAAAAATGAAAAAAGGCCTAAAAACATGAGCTATGAGGGAAGACTGAAAGAACTGGGCTTGATTACTTTAGAAAAGAGAAGACTGAGACTGGACATGATAGCAATTTTCAAGTATCTAAAAAGGTGTAACAAGGAGAAGGGAGAAAAATTCTTCTCCTTGGATTCTGATGATAGAACAAGAAGCAATGGGCTTAAACTGCAGCAAGGGAGGTTATGGTTGGACATTAGGAAAAACTTCCTGTCAGGGTGATTAAACACTGGAATAAATTTCCTAGGGAGGTTGTGGACTCTCCATCACTGGAGATATTTAAGAGCAGGTTGGATAGACATCAAGGATGACGCAGAGTGTGCTTGGTCCTGCCAAGAGAGCAGGGACCAGACTTGATAATCTTTTGTGGTCCCTTCCAGTTTTAGTATTCTATGATTCTTGTCATGTGCAATATATACAACTAATTTAGAGTCAGGACAGAGCTTTACATTTTTTTATAAGAACTTTGTATTGCACATTTTTCTGGGCATGCTATTAAAAATGATTGGGGTACTTTATTTTTTAAAAGGGCTTTTATCTTCTATGTTTCATAAACAAGGATACTAGAGCTACTACACAGAAGAACAATGTCATTACTATGAAATTGTTTTTTTAATGGAGGCTATATGATAATCAAGGGGGTACTTTTATTGCTCTGAATATGCTTTTGCACTACCTGACTGTCTGAAAATGAGTTTACATAATCTTCCCATAAAGTAGATGTATGGATGGTAGCTCTTTCAACACAGTGGGCTTGATCCGCTTTTCTTTTGGGTGATTTGTTTCACTGTGAATTATGGAAGACAAGCTTGTGCACTTATTTATGTGTTTGTGTAGCCTGATTTTCAAAGCTAAGTATTTATTTGCACCACATATCTCATGCAGAATCAAGCCCTGAAGTTACCTGAGCTATAAACATTAAGTTACGCTTGAATAGTACAATAAGGCCTTAGTACCTGAGTAGGATCATAACACAATCACTGGGGAGTAAAGAACTGCAAGCACAATACCTTTTCCAGGATCTCAGTCCTAGAATCCGAATTTGGCATTAACATTGTTACTAAGAAATGCATATTGGAATACTGGAGCCACAGAAGCTTTGCAATTTGTTTTTTTTTTTTTTCTTAAAATGGTCATTCTCACCTGGCAATCAGACATATAAGCCATTCTGACTATTCTTATTGTAAAAAAATATTCTATCAATCACTACACAATAATTCGTCTTAAAACATTCTGTTGTCCTTAGTAAGAGACACCCATATTAGAAATCAGTTATATGCTATGGCTGCACTTCGGTTCCTACCATATGGAGGAAAAATACTAAAAATACCAAGTGTGTACTCATTAGTGGGGGCGTAACAGAATTGGGCCAACTACTGAGCACTTCCTCGGGGCCAGAAAGGTCTCTGAGGCACACTGAATCTGTTTTCCTTCTCCAGAACCTCTTAACAACTGCCCATAAGCTTCTCTCTGGGTAACACCACTCCTTCTCAGTCCCAGTTTAATATCAGAAATATCTCTTAGGTGGGTAGCGATGTTAGGGATAGCTCAGTGGTTTGAGCATTAGCCTGCTAAACCTAGGGTTGTGAGTTGAATCCTTGTGGAGGCCATTTAGGGATTTGGGGCAAAAATTTGTCAGGGATGGTACTTAGTGCTGCTGTGAAGGCAGAGGACTGGACCCGATGACCTTTCAAGGTCCCTTCCAGTTCTAGGAGATAGGCAATCTCCATTAATTTATTTATTTTATTTAGTCTGTACATTTAAAAAAAAAGAGTAGTCCTACGGCACCTATCTATAAAGTCTGGTATCGTCTCTCACACCTGTCCTTTCTAACTCAGGCCAAGCCTTCTAGTCCCCCATGCTTTTAGGCCCAAACTCCATCCAGGTTTCCCAACTGTCACCTCTTGCTGTCTGAGCTCCTCTCATCTCCAACACCATCTGGGGATCTTCCCTACAAGAGCCCTTCACAGGAGCAGTCTCTCTGCAATTTTATGGCAGCCTCCTGCTGCTCACAACAGAACTATCATCTTGATTTCTGACCCATGAATGATGCAGTGACCAGGAGTGGCTAACTATAGCCTTTCTGTTGTTTAGGGGTGAGTCACTTTGTAACAGAGGTCCATCGCAAGAGCAACTTTTAGATTAGACAGACAGCATTATAGCGCAGGGAAATGATCACAAAAACGTTTAGTTTTTTTTAAAATAATATTTTCATTCAAATCATCCCTGACTCATTGTAGTGCATACTCTACACTTTTGATGATATATAATTGAATAAAAAGTTGCACTTGCAAAATAATAAGGCACATTAATCAAATTCTCACTGTGGTACTACACAGCTAATGAATCAAACACAGTCTCTACATCTGGATTCTAACATTTTGGATGATTCTAAGAAGACATTTAAAAATTACAATTACATGGGGCTTATTTTAAATATCAACTAATTTATGTTTAGTAAATTGCAAATAATAACACTTGTCATGCCTCTTCTTTTGTAACTATTAATTTGAGTAGAACTCAGGAACCGCTCAACAGAAATTCTGGAATTCCCTCAGCAGACCCATGTGGCTCCAAGTGTCAAACCTCACAGCAGTCAAAGCCAGACTAGCAGCTGGTTTTTTCTTTTACCATTTCAGCAATTATTTTTAGGATCAGAGTTTGCCTTTTCAGAATTTCAACTAATGTTGACAATAACTTGATAATTCCACAAGAAGTGAATTGTCTGGTTACTATCATTTTAGGTTGCTTTAATGTACAGGAATTTAATCCAGTGAATTCCATGAAGGAATAAAAGCATAACTGTTCTGATTTCTTGATGTGTTAAAGGTCAGGCTTGTCATTTTAACATTTACAGGAAATTAGACAGGCCACTCTTCAGTTAACACCTATTCAGAGAATTATCTTCAATATAACAATAATCTTGTAGCATTATTAATTTGCCATATAGATAGGACTCTGTTCTTGTTTACCCAATTCAGCTCATCCTCCCTTCACTCACTAAGACATGTATTGTTGATACTGCCATTTCATGTGCATGTTTTTTGGGTAACCTTACTAGTCTTTCCCGCAAATGCAGTCACGCAAACAGCATATTAAGTTTCTTACATGCAAATGTTATGCAACTGCATTGCAGGGAAAAGTAGCCATGTGAACACACTTCAATCAATGTTATTGTTACTAGGTCAGATAGAACTACAAAAGCATAGCTCTACTTTTTGCAAAGACTAGCTATCAAATGCATTATGGGACTGATCCAAAGTCCTTGGAAGTCAATGGGACTGTTAAGTAACTTCAATCAGGGTAGAACTAAACTTTGAGGACCATATTGTCAAAGGTATTTAAACAATGCTGAACTCAAAATTACAATGTAACTAATTTAGGAATCTAAGTCTCATTTTAAAAGGATTTAGGCACTTCAGAAGGTTTAGTCTTTAGTGCCTAAATCACTTTTGAAAATGAGACATGGGCTCCTCAGTCAGGCAATGCTTAGCGCACCATCTCCTAAATACCTTTACAAATCTGGGCCTAAATGACTTAATTTCAAAGCTCACTGAATGTACAATTCTGCATTCGGTGAGGTGCCATTACATATCAAGATCTCATTTATTCCTGTTACAACATAGCTCTGAAAACAATCTGAGTTGACTCTAGTTACAAGTATTAGTGTTTGTTATTTGCTTGGCATCAACAGCTCTAGTACTTTGGAATTAATTCAGACTGTATAGTATTTAACTACAAGTAAAAGAGCAAATCAACTTGTACATAATAAGAACCAGAAGCGAGAGAAGTTCATATTCTTTGTACCAGTATTAATAAACATTAACTGAAAAAGTGTGACAAAGTGTTAAGCTCCTTACTAAGACATATTCTAACACACATAAAATGGGTTTGCTTGTATCCATGATGGCCTTTTGGTGGCTGTGCAATAGGTACTAGTCATCTGGAAAACCAAATGAATCTGTCCTTGATGCTGTGCAATTTGGATTCTTCTGCATCTGTAAAAATTGCCTTAGTGTGATAATTGGCCATATGAAGTGATCCATAGTAAAAAGGTTTGATCTCCAAGTAATGACAGCCTCTCAAATTATGTTAAGCAAAGAATCAGCAACTGAAGCATAAAGAACATGATATCCTGCACGCCAGTTGCCAGAGGCAATTAGAACTATTGAGCTGCTAAATACATAATCCTCTCTCCCCCACAAAAATTAATTTTTATTACTTCTAAGTGCACTTAATTTTTTCTTGTATGTTATATTACATAAATAATATTCAGCTTGTAAATAGGCAATAGTTGTATAACTTACCAGAATGATGGTGATGCTGCTCTTCTAGGAATTCCAAGTCAAGCATAAGGTCATCTTCATCCAGCTCACAGGAACCCAAGTTATTTAGTACATCCTGTATATGATAGAAAAACAAGTGCTTAGAAAAATCAATCGCCAACACTGGATCAAGGTATTTGGCACTATCAGACATAGGTGATATATTAATGGCTAGGTTCAAATATTAACATCAAGAAAGCTCTTTGAATTAATAGTCTCTGCAGTACTGTGTACAGCTTTACTTTTAAGTAATAGTAATGGTGAAACAGAGAAATGAAGGATCCTGCAGCGTGATAATGTCTTAACAGGAAAATCAGTTGGCAGCCACATACAACTGAGAAGTTAAAAAAATCGACAACCCTCAACTTGCCCCAAATGAGAAGGAGAAAAAACCCTGAAAGATGTGCCCCCGCAACTGAGAAACGGAAAAAATAAAGACACTCCCCTTGAGCTCCAGCTCAATGCTTACCCTGTGGCCTAAATTAATTCTTTTGAGGGCCTGGCCCTAATGGATTTTGTGGGGACCCCAGGCTCTGGGGTGGGACCAAAACTGAGGGGTTCAGAGTGCAGGACAGGACTGCCAGAAAGTGGGTGGGAGGTAGAGACGTGGGGTCTGGGCAGGAGATAGGATGCAAGAGCAGATTGGGAATGAGGGTGCAGAGTCTGGGTGAGAGGTAGGATGCAGGAGTGGGCTGGGTCTGAATGGGAGGAAGGGTGCAGGAGCGGTCTGGGGGTAGGAGTGGTTTCTGGGAGGGAGAGCGGTTGCAGGAATGGGCTGAGGTGTGGGGTCTGGGCAGGAGGGGAGTGCAGGAGCATGGTGGAGGTGGAGATGCGGGGTCTGGATTAGAAGGGGGTGTGGGACGTAGTGTGGAAGGGGGTGATGTGCCCACCTAGCACAGCTTCTGGGGAAGATACAGGAGGCCTCGCACAGCTCGGCATGCTGCAAGGAAGCACTTCCCCCATCTGCTCCCATTGGCTGAAATTCCAGGCCCATGGGAGCAGCAAGGGTAGAGCCTGCAGGAAGCGCTTCTCTGCAGCATGCAGATCTGCTTTCTCCCTCCTGCCAGGCAGAGCCCATGAACTAGATGCAGCCCATGTCTGCAGTGTGAAGCCAGCAATGGGGCTCCAGCCACCGCACTTTCCATGCGGCTGGGGTGATCTTGCATAAAAACTTAAATCTATACATTTTTACGTTCAGAAGGATTAGAATAGAAAGTTATACCATTCAGTTACATATTTTTATTTTTACATTTAATACATTGTTGTAAATGAAGACAACCTATACATTCTCACAAGAAGTGCCACACTAGTGAATCTATAAGAAAATATAATATTCCCAACTCTGCAGTTCTTTTTTTTGTCCATGCTCAGACAAAACTCTGTTGAAGTCAATAGCAGCTGTGCTAATCTCTCCAATGCTGGGTCCAACGCATTTGCAATATGGGCCCAATCCAAACCCCACTGAAGTCAGTAAATCAACTCCTACAGACTTCAGTAAGCTTTAGCTCAGGCCCTATCTTCCTTAAGAATGTCATATTCATAAGGATAAATGTTATACAGTAGAGATTAATGTACTATAATATAAACAGAGCAAAATAAATGCACAGAAATACATACACGGAGATGACTAGCTAAGGCACTTGATGACTTTCAAGGCAAATTATCAGAGACTAATATCTCTCCTATAGACAACCACGTAACCTCAAGATGATTCTTAACAACAACCACAGGACATACCACACTAATACCAACCCTGGTACCTTCCCTTGCAACAAACCCCGTTGCCAGCTTTGTCCACATATTCATTCTGCTGATACCATTATTGGACCTAACCAAGTGAGTTATAAGATCAAGAACACATATTCCTGCGCATCCAGAAATATAATCTATGCTATCATGTGCCGAAAGTGTCCGTCTGCTATGTACATTGGACAAACATCTCAGACACTTCGCCAAAGGATTAATGCCCACAAAACAGATATCAGACAAGATCACAAAGAAAAAACAGTTCCTTGCCATTTTAACCAGAAAGGACACTCTCTCAATGACTTAATCACCTGCATTCTGCTACAAAGACCTTTTACATCTGCACTTGAAAGGGAATCCTCTGAACTGTCATTCATGTTAAAATTTGACACTCTCCAAAAAGGAATGAACAAACACTCAAGCTATCTTACCCATTACCAAGATAGCTTCCCCAATTATCACCTCTAATACCATTAACTCACAAACATCCCACTCTCCCCACCTCTAATATCATCAATTCACAGACACTTACCTTCCTTCCTCCCCCCCCCCCCCCCCGCATCCCCCTCCTGTTCTGAAATGTGATTTGTCCTTTTCATATGTGTTCATTTTTTTTTAATTGTATCCTTTGGTATATATGGTTGTGACTATTTTCTTCCACTATTTGATCTGAGGAAGTGGGTCTGGCCCACGAAAGCTCATCATCTAATAAACCATCTTGTTAGTCTTTAAAGTGCTACATTGTCCTGAATTTTGCTTCTAATATCTCTTCTAGTGAGAGAAATATGCTTTTGAGCTCAGACACAGCTCTTCTTCAGGTCCCAGAAATGTGCTCAGTATGTCACAGCCAATAACAAGGGAGAACAGATTGTTTAGCATAAGTAGTTAACACGTAATTCAAGGAATCATTCAAGGTAAAGTGACTCAACACCACTCCAGTCATAATGAGGACAGAGGGAAAAAGTTGGGAGTAAGGAAGGTAATGGGTTATAGATTGTTGTAATAAAACCATAAATCCAGTGTCTCTATTCAGTCCCTGATTTTTAATGTCTAGTACAGTTATGAATTTAAGTCTTTTGAAGATATACAGGGGTTTTTCCTGCAGATTAGAACAGAGGTCAACTATAGAGCAATCATTCTGAGGCAAGTGTTCATCCACAGGTGACTTGGGATTTTTGTCTTATTATTCTGTGTATCTTAAATTCAAGAACATAGTGATTGCTTTGTTTCACACAGTTGTTATTGTGACATTTAGTGCACTAAAAAGGTATACTACAAATTGTGATAGGCACATGTAGGATTCACGGAGTGTGTGTGTTGGGGGGGAAGTTGATCATTGTAGTTGTGGAAATATATCTACAGGTTTTACATTAGTTGTTCTGGCAGGGTCTGGAGCTGATTTGAATGTGTGTGTCCTGGTCTCTTGGGAACTTGCTTCATATGATGAGCTTGAAGAGATTGGGGGCCTGTTTGAAGGCCAGAAGAGCAGGTTCAGGAATGATTTCTTTCAGAGCGTGTCCCCATCAAACACAGGTTATAATTGATGATGTCCCAGACAGTTCTACCGGGGAGGGTGTAGGTGACAACTAAGGGTATATAATTTAGTTTGATCTCTGTCCTGAACTAGATTCTCTTGGGGTATTTGAGTGGCCTATTCTATGATGTGATCTACATCTCTGGTGGATCACCCTTATTTGGTGAAGGTAGTTTTCAGTTTGTTAAGGTGTGCATGCATTGGGCTTTCTCCTCAGAGCATATTCTGTGGCATCTGAGTGCACGGCTATAAATAATAGATTTTGAGGTGTGTTTGGGGTGGGCACTTGATCTGTGAAGACAGGTATGGTGATCCATGGATTTCTCATATATAGCAATCTATAAGGTTTCATTGTGTAAGTTGTCTGTGGTGTCCAAGGAGTTAATACTAGTGTGGGAGTGATGTAAAAAAAGTTTAATAGAAAGGTGGTGTTTGCTGAAATTGTGATCTCTAAGGGTATGTCTACACTACCCCGCTAGTTCAAACTAGCGGGGTAATGTAGGCATACCGCACTTGCAAATGAAGCCCGGGATTTGAATTTCCCGGGCTTCATTTGCATAAGCGGGGAGCCGTCATTTTTAAAACCCCGCTGGTTCGAACCCCGTGCAGCGTGGCTACACGGGGCACACTTCATCCTAACCCACAACAATTTTATGTGCAACAAAAAACTTTGGGAACAAGCATGAGTATTAGGATGGCATTGTGCCAGCCTCTTCATGGCCCACCTTGAAGAATTATTTCTGGGCAAAATCAATTGTAGATACACCTGAGCTACAATGATAGTATTTTTATCCTCTGGACAGATGACCTTAACTCCCTAAGGGTATGTCTACACTACCCTCCTAGTTCGAACTAGGAGGGTAGTGTAGACATACCCTTAGGGAGTTAAGGTCATCTGTCCAGAGGATAAAAATACTATCATTGTAGCTCAGGTGTATCTACAATTGATTTTGCCCAGAAATAATTCTTCAAGGTGGGCCATGAAGAGGCTGGCACAATGCCATCCTAATACTCATGCTTGTTCCCAAAGTTTTTTGTTGCACATAAAATTGTTGTGGGTTAGGATGAAGTAGATGAGTTTCGCAATATGTTTGGAGTGGGTATCTGAGGCCTGTCTGTGATCCTGTGAATATTTGAGGCAGGTAGCCTGTGAAGGATGGTGGTGAATAGGGAGGTGACATTCACAGTGACCAGGATGGTGTTCTGAGGGAGAATGATAATACTGCAGAGTTTCTGGAGAAAGTCTATTGCGTTCTGGAAGAAGCTGTCCCTTTGTGTGGTGAGTGGTTTGAAGATAGTCCTTCAGTAAGAGTGCTGTGGCCAGATCTGATGGGTCTGCCAAAATGATTTTATTGTTTTTGTCACTTCTAATCATTTCACAGTACTCTTTTTCCACACATCGCTCCTCTAATTCTTACCACAAAACAGAGCCTTATATGCAAATCAGTCCTTCAAACTCAATGCCTACGTCTACACTGCAGGCTTCTTGCACAAGAACTGTTTTGCGCAAGAGTTCTTGCGCAAAACGTCTTGCGCAAGAGCATGTCCACACTGCCATGTTCTTTTGCGCAAGAGTGTCCATGGCAGTGTGGACGCTCTCTTACACAAGAAAGCTCTGATGGCCATTTTAGCCATAGGGGTTTCTTGTGCAAGAAACCCCTGTTGCCAGTCCTCACTGCCTTCTTGCGCAAGAACTCTTGCGCAAGAGGGCTTATTCCTCGTGGGGAGAGGAATAACTCTTGCGAAGAAGCCCTCTTTTCTGATGCTTTACTGTAAATTTACTTGCGCAAATACAC